CCCCCCCCCCCCCCCCACCTCCCCCCAATCGAGAATGTTGAATAATAACAGTAAATTAGGAGATGGTATTTCTTATTCGCAGGAAGGGGCTCAGTATTATTTGGAGGGACTATACAAGGTTGCACAATCTTTTTCCGTTTATTTGAACTCATGGGGTGTGGAGTTTGAGCTTCGGGTGTTGGGATGTTGGGGGTAGCACGTGAGAGACTTGTTGCGGATACGAGGTCTGTGCATTTTCTGAGTTCAGGTTGGAAGGATCGAAGACGTGACTGGTTTGGGCGGTGGGGGTGTACTGTCAGGCCACTTCACAATATTTGCGCTTTGTTTTCTGGATGACCTCGGATTCAGCGTAGGTGAGGTTGGCGGACTCAGAATGTGACAGGTTTGTAGGTTGAGAGCTCGGTTCCGTCAAGGCGTTCCAGAATGAGACTTTTTGGAGCTTGTGATGGTGTGCTGAGTGAGAGTTGGAGGGTTTTGAGGTTCAGTGCCTATGGTTTGCGCAGTTTGGGCCTTCGACATTTCACGAGCATCCCACATGGCATTCAGTTCAAGCGGAAGGGTGTGGGGGTTCAGCTAGGGATGTAAGGTGCGTCCACCAAAGAAACATCATTCCTCAGCAGGCCTCAGACAGGTAGGCTTTGATGGAGATATTCTTTATTTGAAAGTTCAGGGGACCTGGCAATTTGGGTAATGTACACACGTCCACTCGGGGGAATTCCGAAACAGGGTAAAAAGCCCAACTGTAAAGACGTGCTAAGTCCCATGAACCTTCAAGTAAAGCCTTAGGACCAAGGATGAAGGGCTGATGCTTGCTTGAAGCCTCAAGCACGACATGGCCGACCAGGGTAGCGTTAGAACGCCATTGCTGGCAGTGGACGAGACATGCACGTATAGTTGTGGGGTGTTGATCACTGTTATGTCTCCAGGTACTACAAGGTGCAAACACTCTCAAGCCTGAACCTCAACTCTTAACCCGGAAACTGAAGCCTGAACCGGAAGCCATGAACCCCTACCTGGCGTAAGTAGGTTAATCATGGGGATAGCTCCCGTTGATCAGAAACCCTCCCACTCCCTAATTATGAATGCCCCCAATGTAGTACCAGTATATAGCAGGAGGAAGATTTACTATCGGGGGGTGCGGGGCTAATTAATAAGGGAGGGAATTCTGGTCTGAATTTGGGTCCCTAAACTTAAGCCCTACACCCTAAGACCTAAGCTTGCAACCCTTAACCCAAAGGATTTACAGCACCGTTGGCAAATCCGGGCCTCTGACCCTTCCAGCGAGATCCTCGAGGCGGCAGGGCTCACAAAATCCAGAGTGAAACCTCTCAAAACAAGGCCAGATAGCCTTCAAGCAGTAGATCTATATTGGAAGCATTTTTTATATCAGAAACTCCAGCACAAGAGTAACTTCACGGGGCGAAGGCACCTTGAAACAGAATTTGGTTGATACTGCACCCCTAGCCATAATTGTCACATGTAGGATCCTCATCACGGGTAGAACAGTCCACTTGCAATCATCATATTGGGGGAGTGCTATGGATGGGGCAGTCTCCAACCAAAACATACCTGGAGGTCCAGCGTAGTTATGGTTGACTTGGTCACTAGATTTCCAAACCCAAGCTAGTCCCCCAAGTACGATTGCGTTGATTTCATTTTGTTCCAGAAACAACTACTGTGTACTTCATGCCTACTCGGCATCCCCATGTACACTCTAGATTCCTCAATCTTCCTTCGGCCTTCCTAGAGGCATGTTGCTGTGGGCTCCGGGTTATCGCGGTTTTGGTCAAGGATTTGAAGTTTAGAGTTCAGGTTTTGAGGTTAGGAATTCAGAGCGAAATCTAAGGATGTACTACGTAGTACTTTGGTCCGAGGGGTGCTACAGGTTTGGGGTTTGAGGCGGAGGTTCCTGGGGCTCAGCAGCCTGTTATACTGGGGTCTGTAACTGTATTGACAAATGGGGCTGACGTTTACATGTCATCCTCCCAAGTTCTTGATAATTATGAATGAGAGGGCTTTAGTGACCCCAAGCCCCAAAATTCGCGCCCTATTATGGTCACCTGATCGTTGTAGGGTTCTGATTGGAAGGTATGGTAAAACAAAACCCCAAAACTACAGTAATCTTAGGGTGCCTTACTGTGGGGTTACAACCCAAAGTATCAGCTGCCATGAGATCCCAAAGGAGCGTTGTGCCACCCCCTCACTTACCTTAAACCCTAAAGGAGTTTGCCAGCCCCAAACCCCAGCCCCTCACTTACCTTTGAACCCTAAAGCCTCAGTCCCCAACTTCTAGAATCAAGTTGGAACGAATATGGAAACTGGGTTTTCTGTGGTCTTCCAGGATAGTACCAGGGCTTGGGTGACCACAACCCCCAAATTAGCATTGCACCACAGTCAACGCGATGATTCAGGGTCCTAGCTTGGGGGGCTGGGGTGAACAAAGTCCGTTTCGAAAAAGCAGGCTGTAATAAACACACATTTAGCAAAGCAACATTCTCGCAGCGTTTCGTGGACCAGCCCGTAAGTATTACTGCTGTTATTAGTCGTAAGGCTCTTAATGGTGTTACTATAAGTATTATGATTACTGCTCTTCTGGGGTTTGGGGAATTACCGTTGGAAGACTGACTGCTCGAATCATTTTGGGCGATGATTTGCGTGCCGTCTTGTTACCGAGCAACACATTCAATTCCTAGACTGACATCCGAGTAGCTAAGCAAGTCCTCTCAAGCACGAAGAAGGTAAAATAAGGAATACAACGGGCCCGTGATATGATTAAAGTTGTCCCTTCGAGTTATTACTCGTGGGTTTGGGGGATCACCTAAAGAGTAGCCTTCACTTTACATCCGCAATTTTACAAAATGGTCGATTCCTGAAATAGGAGGACCCCAATATAGACCCCAAAATATTCTAGTGCGTATTATGAGGACTCCCAAAACGAGGTAACCCAATTTTGCGAAACCCCAATATGTCCAATCCGTACATCTCCTACTCGTCATCTTTTGGGTGGACCCCCCACCCTGTAATAGTGACGATGAGGGATACTGGTGCATGAATTGGGGCTTATATTCCGATAATGCCACTATCACAGGGTTGAGGGTCCACCTAAGTCATCCTTCATGGTTTGGCCAAACCCTGAATAGCGTGCTCGTTTCCACTTTCTTTTCCATCTAATTTTACACCGTAAAAAAGTATTTGTTGGTAATCCCCATATTCCCTTTGAAACCCCTATGTAATGCCTTTTTTTGAAGTTCCTATAACACCCCAGCTTCCAGCCAACACTTTGTGGCCAGGTTTCGGTAGATGTGCTGCCGGGCCTGGAAAGGGGAAGCGATTCCCCGCCTATCTTCCGTGCGCATTTGAGGCGTGTAACGTAGGGTGGTTATCTTAGGGCTATGTCATTATGTACGTAAGGGCTATGTAAGGATTATGTAACGGCTATATATGAGCTACATAAAGGTTATATAGGGCTACATAAGGGTTATATGAGGTTTATATACGTAAGGGCTATATAAGGATTATATGGGCTTATAAGAATCCCAATAAGGGAAAATCAAATGAAAAAAACAAGTACAACATGAAGTGGCCCCTGTAAAGGGGCATATAGGGACATATGGAGGCTTTTGCGGATGCGGGAGGGGAGGGGGGGTCCGACAATAACCGGCATCTTTTTGTTGCTGCTCTTATATTCAGGATTATAGTATATCGGGGTATGCAATGGGATTTGTATGCATGGAAGCTTTCACGTAAGTTCTAGGGCGAGAATATTTTTTCGGTGGCGATGGCAGCTGCTTTATACTGGAACCGCGATATTTGTATGTGAGTCCACGATGCATTATTGATCGGCGCAAGTTGAAACATTATGAGGTACGAGGTCTATTTTGAGAGTTCACCAGATTGTTTTCGGAGTGGCCTTGTGCCAGCCAGAAATGCACATGTCAGTGAGCAAATCACAATCATAATTACTGGTGAGTAGTTTGTCTCTTCCAATTTCCCATGATGATACTATGAGGCACCCTGTTGCCGGAATGTTAAAGCTGCCGCAAAGTGTAAGCAGGTTTGGTGGGGGTACCCGCTGACAAAGACATGGAGAGCACAGCTTTTTTTTCGACGCTAGAGTCTCTTCTCATCACCGTCCTTTCATGTCCTTAAGAAATGTCCTGAATTCAGCACAGTCCTGTCTGAGTGTTCAGGGTTTTTGGTGCGGAAGGCGGAAAGTAAAAAGGCAAAGGTTTGGCTTCAAAATTTGGAGCCTATGTACGCATCATACCTGCGCTCGATGCAATTGGAGTAGAGCGCTGCAGCTCCACTCCCGACTATCACGGATTGTTGCTAGGATTTACGACGTCACTTAATGAAGGTAGAAAGAATCTCGAGAAAAATCAGTACACAGGTCCATAGGGCAAACCACACATATTGAATCTACTTACCTCTATGTTCGTTTCTGATGTTGCAAGCAAGCGCAGATTGACACCAATGCGTTCCCCAATGTGCAACAAGCAGGGAATCCCAAAAAGTCCCTAGCACGCCGAAAGCCCCCAGCAGCTTTCCGAGCTGCGTGTGCAACACTTGCGGCCTGAAAGGCTGAAACGCAGCCCCATGCTACGCGCCCGAGCAGAGCGCGCAGGCACACAGCAGGTTAAGGAGATTTTTATTCGTACAATGTTTACACATGCGGGTGATCTGTTTGAATGCGATCTGTGCTTCATGTATTGGGAAAACACGTCGGGGTCTGTATTAACAAGCCTGAAAAGACAACCAAACCGAATAGCTCAGACTTCACTGCCGTAAAAGATGTATTTCAAACCTGACGCGACACTTTGAGGTTTCGGGTGTTAAAACAGAGGTTTTGCCGGATAGTTGTTGTGCGCCGCATTTTGGTTCGAAATATTTGTTTCTCGCTTCATGGCCTCGAGTTTGACGCGTGCAGGGCGCACGCAACGATGAGCCAGTAGCGGTTGTAACTCCAAGAACACCATGATCGCCTGCATCCATCCATAACAGGCATACACTCCAATAGACTAACATGAAAGCCCAAAATGGCCCAACAAAGACTACTGAAATTTTGACAAGGCCCCGTTTGTTTTTCCATGTCTGTTTGGGAAGGGCCTGTCAAATTGTTTTTCTCGTTTGAACGGGCCTGACGCAAGGGTATCTAAACCCTTTTTAGGGTTTAAGGTTTGGAGCTTGGGGCTTAGGGCTTAGGAATTTCCAAGCATCTCAAGCACCTCCCCATCCTTGAAATTGTACCCTACAGGAACCCTCCTGTTCAGGTGTTCAGCGGACATATTTGTTCAGTGGGGGCTTGGGAGTGGTGTTGATTTTACCGTACTGTCCTTAGGATTTTTTGTGTTAAGTTATAGTATAACCATGAGGAAATATTAAAAGTATTCTGTTTATTATAGGTCTAAGGAGACTACAGTTTAAGGCAAGAATGTTTCAGGTATGCGCAACTTGTCTCCAGGGATCCTTTTCAATGGCCTTGTGGCTACCCGCCGTTCAAGTAGTCCACATCGCCACAGTGGAAGTCTTGCTACTATTTCTTGACACCTGACGCTATGTCTCACAACAGGGCCGTTTATACATATTTCATATTTCCAGAGAAACTACCACCAAGATCGTTTAAACTTTCAGTGTGGATGCTTGACGGAAGTCATTCAGCAGTTTCTCAAAGAAGCGCTAGAAAAAACCCAAATCTTCCTGGAATATCGCATATTTCTGAGGGCAAAAACTTTATTCTGAGATACCTCACTTCCAAAACCCTGCAGGACTTGATCTCGCTTGAGCGGCTAACATGCGAGATTCCGGAAAACCTACAACCCGGACTCGTTCCTACCTAATCTTTGCATCTTTCCTGAAGAATTTACCTTGCTGCTCCTGAGATCATGTGCCCGACCCTCTTATAGACTCGAGGCTTCTTGGGGCATGCAAAGGTTCTTTGCGAATGCTCTGGGAGTACGGCTTTCAGCCACAACGCACGGCCGTGCGGATTTACGTCAACGCTATCAAGCTCCTGAGAGCTTTGGGCTCAACATGATGTTTTAGTATGCGCAGGAGAATTTATAGCATTTTTTGGACTCTCAATTGCCTTGCAGACATAGTTACGGACCAGGACCCAAGGTGATTGGTTACCTTTGACAGGATTGGTATAGATGTCTTTGTCTATGAATAGGATGGGAACATATCGTGGGACATTTATCATTGTACTTAATCAGAGGTTCTCAGTGATGACGGTAGCCTTTGCTTCAACCCTTGCAGATTCGACATAGCTACGTTTGCTCAACAAGGTTGGAAGTGCCGTGCCCCTCCAAGTGCGTTCTGATCCCCAAATTCATAGGCACAGGGAGGATTTCGGGGTAGAGGGTTCCAATTGAGGAACTAGGCGTATGTGTTTTTCCAAATAAGGTCCCCAGTCACAGAACCAATAGTGGCTTCATAGGCCGTGTATTGGTCACATTGAGAAGCTCCTGTTGTCCAGACACCGTATGACATCATGCAAGTGTGTAGTTCTTAAAATTTTTTTGATGTTGCGTTTGTGTCCAGAAACAAATGCCTGTCCAACCCGGTCTTATGCTTGCCCTCCGTGGAAACACCGCAAGTTTCCATCTTTTCATATTTCATGCTAGTTCGGGGAGTACTCCTTGGCTGTAGAATTGCAGGCTTCGAATGAATTCCCATGTTATTGTATGACATGCTATCGTTTGGCAACAGACGGTCTCACAGAGTCGGTTCTTCAAAAGGTGAAGAGCCCATCAAGAACCACCATGCGCGCTCAACAGAATTTATGCATGCATACATCGAATTATGAAAGCTAGTCTGGTCGAAAAGTGTCCTTAATCCATATGCTGCGAAAATCCTCACCATGTCGAGAAACCCCAACTTTCGACGACTGCGGGTTCAGGGTTCAGGGTCGGGCTGCAGTTTGCTCTGATTGCGGTAATTCATATAAGGCCAGTGAGAGGGTTCTCAGCAGGGCCAGAACAATCAGGTACAAAGTCTCATGAACTTTCAGGCAGAGACCACTAATCGCACATAAATTAGAAGGTATCTTGGCTCCATCATGCATGATACTCCCCCTTTGTTGTAGCACAAGCAGTTCACGCTCGCCAATTCGCTTACGAGGGGTGGGGGGTCCAAAAAACCCCTGATCGCTTGAAATCTCTTGCCACCCGTACTTGCTGTCTGTGAGACAAGCATTCATCCTCACATCACAAAAAGATAAACCTTGTTCGTAGACCTGAAGACTGAACCCCATTCGTGACGGCCCAAATCCCCAAATCTTCGATCTCAAGGAAAGGGTGTGGGTTTCCGATCTCACCCGAAGCCAGTCTACAAAGAGGCGACGCTCATGGGTTACCGGGTTTGGTGTTGGAATGCTCCGGGCGGATTGTCTTTATCACGGGGGATACAGGGACTTCACCCCGGCACGCCGGTCTGAATCCTAAGTGCGTATTGTAGGGTTGCAGGGTGTTCCTTGTCCGGTGGGGGTGTTTGAAATCAATTTTCAATTAAGAAGTAGGTTGAGTCGGTGTCTTTCCTTCATTTCATTCAATTTCACTGGTTTTTCAAGGTTTGGGATTGGCTCTATATTCAGAAACCTGGTTCAACACATTCCGTCCCCTGACACATATGCAGCCCTCCTGATCATCTATGCAAGATCCATAGCGATTGTCGCCCCTAAATGCTAACTGCCATAATCAGGTTTCGTGAAAAATCTTTCGGGCGGGCCACAAACCAGCAAATCGACAATATTTTCCCCATAAAAGGAATAAAACACTCCCCCCCACCGCATAATTCAAAGATGTACGTCAATACATTGGGGCTATTCCGGGGAAAGGGGGTTTCTTTGTGGGTGGGGCAGGGTGTCTTGATGTTATGGGACAAGGTTACAAATTAATGCATTTCAGCATTTCCTGATGGTAGCATCCACACCCCATTCAAGATGGTCAAGAAGGTGCGTACAGTCGAGATGTAGTTCCGGCTACCGTCACGCAAAGGAGTTGGGTCACGCCTTGAAAGTTGTTTTAGTCGGTTTTGAAAGTGGACCATGGAAGAAGCAGAAGTCATAAGCAAACTAATAGGTCAAAGTGGTGTTTCGCGCATTACTACTGTCGACGGTGAGCGGATCCCAAATTACTGCATTGCCTCCAGATTGCGCGATGGTTTTAGAAAAAGACGATGCTACGTTGCGAGCTTTAAACATTGCCATGACTGCCACGTGAACGTAACATCAACTAAAACCGAATTTCACAAAACATGCACGTAGCAAATTTGCGATACACCGACTCTTGAGGCATCTTGAGGTTGCCTTGCATTGTTGCGTCATGTGGCATAGGCGATGTGCATTGAGAGGAGGGCTGGGTGAAGGCCCACAAAGCCTCAGGGGCAACACTCAAGTTGTTGAGGCCTCTCGTTCCGGCGGACGTTTGTTCCGAAGCAGCACTCTGTACAAAGATGGGCCCCTATGTGCTTGTGTTTTCTGGTCATCTTGTTGTGGCCTCCTACGGATGCGACTGCTTGCGGCGGCGACCGTTGCGGCGTCAGTGGTTCCTATTCCTGGCATTGCAAATGTTTTGCGTGTAGCTGATGTTGACGAAGTTGCTGCTTTGTCCCGCTTGGTTGCCGTTTTGATCGTCATGGGTGGTTTGCATTTTTGCTTAGTTTTCTTGCCAGAAGCCACTCAGCGCATGAATGTGTGGAATTGGCAGCCTGTGTCATGCATATCGTTGGCAGTGGTCTTGCCCGTTGTTGTTTCTGATTCTGCAGATAATGTATTCGTTGTTGCACGACGGCTGCAGGGCAATTGCCGCTTGGGTGGCTCATACATGTTTGAAAAGCGTTTGAAGGCTATAACCTTTTAATGTGTCTTGCAACCATTTTGATTTTCGTTCTGGTGACAAAGAGGTGAACTCAAGGCCTAGAAGTGTATGTCTCTTGGTAATTTGGCGGCAGCCATGCAGGGGCCATCTCTTTTGAACACAACACATACGCAAAATGCTTGAACTATTGGTCATTCTGGCCAGTAATCCCATACATGAAATCGCGTTAATGTCATGGAGCACATTGACGGCATGCCATATGCCCCCCAAGGTTATAAGATTTTTCATGGTGTTACAGCAGGTGTCGTAAGAGTTCCCATCTCGATGTTCAATACGGTTTTTGTTTTCAGGATGGTGTGTGCTACCAAAATGGTTTAGCAAAACGCAGCACTGGAAATCGTAGCGTTTCAATCCAAAGCTTCTGAACAACACGTCATGACGCAACAGGCAACAGCTTGCAGACACCTTGGGGAATGGAGGTATGTAGTGTTGGCCAACCTTAGGGCAAATACTTTGCACGCCCTTGCGTGCTATACGCGCCATGCAGCTTTACCCCACGAGAATCTTAGCATCAAACCCCAGTTTACGGGTTGCAGCAGAGAATTCCTGCCAGGCTGTGTTGGGAGTACAGCAAAGCTTCACTGGGCACGGTGCCCAGAAACCATGGTGGCGCGACAATGAGGCCGCGTTTCCAAAAGCTGAAGTTTTGGGTTGCACAGAGCTGCAAGCTGGTAAGCCCAACAGTTGGGCGCACCGATGTAAAGAACAAAACTTGTGAGGGAAAACATATTTCGCCATATTGTTCGTTGTCATTTCCAGAACGCATTAACATGTAGTGTGTATTGAAAAGCGTGTTGCAACAAAACATTGGCATTCCGATGATAGGTTTGTCGGTTCATGATTTGTTTACGTAAAATGCTGGCTGAGGAAATGCATGTGCATGCCAACCGTCAGAAGCTGGTGGTATGACTGTTTTGCACGCAATCCACTGCGCTGCAAGAGCACCTTTGCTTCATGCTCCAGTAACAAACACGCCTGGCCAGGCTTTCCCTTGGGGGCCTCGATGGTCACCTGATGCGAAGAAGGCAGCCTAACAGGCAGCAAAACATGTTTTGCTGGGTTTGGCTGGGTTTTCCTTAGGACGAGCAGAAGATATTGCGTATCTTTCGTGCATTGGCCTTGCATTATATTCGGCTGCTGTGTAATGATATCTACCCCGCACAATAAACATTGCACCATCATTGTTGGTTTTCCGAACACGTTGAGCGGGGCAGGTTCCAACAATTTCTTTCCCAAACGACAGTGCATCTCGCAACTGGCTCGCAAGCAGCAAGCTTATCAGCGCCAATCACGTAAGATAGGACTTGTACCTCTAATTGTACAGCGTTCAGGAAAGAATCCGACTTCATAAATTGGATTGCAGGAACAACCAGACAAAGCCGTTCACGGCGTGAAAGCCCTTAGCTCTTTCTTCCAGCCTTCATTTTGTGCACCATTTCTTAACCCAAAGCCTAGAACCGCAGCAAGTGCTCATGGCTGAGCCCTCCACGTGTGGGCTACATTAGGGTTATATTGGGAATAATGGAAAATTAAATGGAAACTACTAGAATGGGGTACATTAGGGTTATATTGGGGATAATGGAAAATGAAATGGAAACTACTAGAATGGG